ACGTATTTATAATTATGTATTTATGTATGTATGTTTGCCATTGTAAAACAAAGTGCCCTTCTGGGACAAATAAAAGTGTATTTTTATTTTTTTTAAATTTATTTTGAAGTAAATCCAAGTAAGACCTGCAGCAAAAGATCCCCCCATTGACTTATGGGCTTTGTTCACATTATTATTCCCAAATCTCATCTTGAAAGTTCAAACTTTTTCTTCAGCTTTTACAAATCCATGAGGGGCAAAACTTGAAAACAGTGAATACTTATTTTGCGATACAAAATGGACTTATCAACTCAAGACTCTCGAAAACGTTTTTCTTTTTTTTTAAACTCACTGGTTGGCAGCTATGTATTCTTACTAAAATACCTGCTTGGTAAAGGGGGTAACAAAGTGTAGGGGTATGTGATAAAAATGGAGAGAAAGAAAACAACCTTGTTACAATCCACACTGACACGATATGCTCATGCGACGTGGGGGGGGGGGTACATCCAGCACAAACAAAACTATTACAAAGCATCCACATTCTGCCCATGTACTTCCAAGTAAAACAAAACAAAACCAAATTCATCGACAGGAACTGAAGCTTAGTTTCGCAGTATGAATTTTGGCACCCTCCCCAAAGACACTTCGCAAAGGTATACACATAGTGTCAACAACAAAAATAAACTTGAATGCAAACAACAGCTACAAACTGAACAATGTCGCTCACCATTCAATGAACCTAGACTCAGATCTAAAAGCCAAACAGAAATCAGACTGAAATTTAGACCATCAATGAAAAAAGAAAGAAAAAAAAAACACTAACAAAAATGTGGTAAACTAAAAAATAAAGCTGTACTTCTTCAAAATAGATTAAAGTAGCCAACTAGCTGAAAACACAGAGTGGGTTCAACCTAGATCTATGTATCTGTATATTAATTGTATAAGTTAATTCTTTCCGAATGCAAACAAGTGTACACCCAAGCATCTTCTCGCGATTAATCCTATAAAAGTTCTGTATTCTATTTTCTAAATGTTGGTTGACTGTATCTGCCCATCTTTTAAAAAAAAAAAGCAACAGTCATTTCTTATTCTTGTATCAATGATGAATAGAAAGGCTAAAGCCAAGAAAGAAGCCTGCAAGCTGCGCATTTCCATGAGTCGAAATGAAGATTTTAAAAGCTCAAAATGTGGCAAACTTTCTCTGCCAAAATTGGTTTCTTTGGCAAAAGGAGAAGCCACAAGTCATCTTAATCCATATTTCTTCTCTTTCCCATAAGCCACAAGTCATCATACTCCATATTTCTTCTCTTTCCCTCATGAAACATTCTTCTCCACAAACTCACACTGGTCATCATCAGACAATGACAGAGGACCTATATATTTTCTTGTCTTGTGTCGCATTTTTGGGTGCCATGATAGTGATCTTATTCATACCACACAATCATTGACTTTGAGATTGTGAGTGAGTTGGTATAAAGATATTCCAACACTAAGCTGGAACTAGACCGGAAAAGGAACAACAATGATTAGACCTATCCGTTAGTTTCATTATCTAATTCATTGGCAATTCTTTTATAGCTTTTGGCTCCTGTTCAGTTCAACCCCCCCCC